TAATATTTCTACATACGCTTTATGGCATTGAAGATGCAAAACGCCATCCTAACAGTAAAAACAGTGATTGATATAAAAATGGTTCCAAGGCCTATTTGTCACCCCGATTTGTATGGTCTAAGGGTGTAACGGATAGAATTTACATTTAAATTTATTCACAGTATCAAATAGATGTGAAATATATATTTAAATATCAATATTAATTGGTTTAGTCTCCCCTCATTGGTAAAAGATTTGGAGTAATTTTGTGAATGTATGTGATTATTTATGTAATTAAAAAAATAAGTGGTGGACAGAGACAGAAGAAAAATTATTGAAAATTTCTTAACATAGATAGCCTTAGTGTAATAAATACTCATTATTTTAATATTTTTAAAAAATAATTATTTGGAATTAAATGAAGTTAGTACTTAGTAGTGTGGAGGTATCCAATAGTTCCCGAGACACGAGTGGGTATCAGATAGAAGGGCGTTGGGAGTGGACTCTGCTTTGTGGGTCACACTTTGCTACAAACTACAAAGTTGGCCTCTGAAACCCCCCAGACTCTGCCCACTGCAGTGTCTCTCAGCAAATTATAATCACGACAATATCTGTCAATTACGACTACTACACTATACAGATATGTATATAGAATATATATATATATATATATATATATATATATATGGACAGAGAGAGAGAGAGATGAACATGATGCGGAGGTTAAGGGGGGAGAAAATTGGGGGATGTCTCCTTCCTTCCATCTGTATCCGAAACTACCAGCACCTTACTCACCACAATAATACAGTGTTACGCACCCACAACTTTGTTTGGTACACTACATATATATTTCACACCAAATAAACATTGTACTTTTTAAAATGTTAGGGGAATAAATAATTTTACTTTCAGGAAACAAAGAAAACAATATATTTTGATTTTATTGTTTTTGATAAGCTGGATTTTAATTTCATATATATATATATATATATATATTAGTTGGTGATAAGTAAAATGACGTGGGGTGGAATTTGGACGGCCAAAGCAGTCGCTAGCAATTTTGGAAGTAGCAACGGTTTGAGTTTAGGGTTGCTTTTGCTGACGTGTAAGGATATTAGGGTCCCACCAACTATTGAAACATTTGAAGTGGCCTAATTAGCTAGGTAGATGGATGAAATAAAACTGCCCCCCACCACCACCATGCAATCTTAGCTACGGTACTAAACAGTACACACTGCAGAGGCCAGATAAGGCAAGAGGATCTGAAGTTGGGACAGTGCACGTGTGCCACTCACGTGTCATCTCTCTCTCTCCTTATATATATATATATATATATATATATATCAATTCATTCAGTTAAACAAATTAACCTTTTTGTCATAATTGTATACAGGGTACCATTGATTCATGCATCTTAGACGTTTTAGAGGACTTACGGATCATGGCAACTGGTAGGTTAGAAATTTACTAGGTATCCATGTTTCAACTAATTTGGGCACCCTAACTAGCTATGACCACCCGGATACCCACAAGAGTCTATACGGTTTGAAAAATTACCAACAGGTTGGATTTATCCTGATATTTGCATTATTATTATTATTTTTTGCTTGCTTGCTTGTTATTTACACACGTGTCTTTATCAAAACTTGAATTATATACTTTCTTTCAAAAGTTAAGGACTGATATCGTTAAGTCATTGATATATTTGCATCACTTTATATCTTGATACAAATTTTCCTTCCGTGTAAGAAGTTTTATTTATTTATTTTTAGTTAGTACTCACACACATATATATTTTTACTAAAACACCAGATTAAATTCTTGACTTCTCTTTAAAATATAAGAGTCTGATAACATTATGTCACTATTGACCTGTTAGTATTACGTGTGAGATTTCACAAACACATTTTTCCTACTCGAACTATCTTACTTAGCAAAAGTCTTTCTGCTTGAGTTCAATAGATACTCTATTCTATACAGGTGGGGGGACGAACAACCTCTATAAAAAAAAATATATACATATTATTAAAAAAAAGAGGGCACTTGCCCCGTGGTCCTATATTGCCTCCCTCAATACAGGTATAGGCATAAAGAGAAATAATTAGAATTTTTGATGGAAAAATCATAATTCATTTTTCTATATGTTTTATTTTTTATTTGATAGGACGCACTTAAATACGAGAATATTATCTGTCTCATTGATGGCATATAGGCGAACGACCTATGTTGAATGATCAGAAAAACACGATTTTGGATTCCTTACAATTTTGTGATTGCGAGTAGGTGATTTGCAAAGTATTCGTATTCCTTCAGCAACAATTGGACAAAAAGTTGATCGTTTATTTAGAATATGTTTTATTAGTTCGCAAAATAATTAATTAAAGAGTGAGCTTGGGGTTGGCAAACTAATTAATTAAATTTGTTTTATTATTATTTTTATATAAAAAAATTCGTTAATTTTTTATTATTTTATTAACATCGAGCATCCTTCTAAGGACGATGGTGCAACGATCTCTGTTTCCATTGACAAATTTTATTGTGATGTATGCATTTGTGTCTAACAGTCTATTAATATATGTCTAATGATCAGATTGGTGGATTTTTACCCATTCACTTTATTCATTTGAAAATTTAAACCCTCACTATTTACTCATCAGTAAACTTTGATCAATTTGATTTCACCTTCACCATGCACTCGATCACTAATCCTTGATCAACTTGATTTCGTTATCTAATTAAACACTTTCTTTCGAACAAAGATGTACCATTATTACTTGAAAAAAAATAAAATAAAGAATACAAAGGGAGTCCATCATATCTATTATCATGCAAATGTAGGTTTTTTAACTTTATAAATTTTGAAGGGCAAATTGCATAAAATCTCTGTTCACTTCCAATTTTTGGTAAGAAACCCATCTAAATAAAAATAAAAAAACTAACATAAGACCCCCTAATTATCTAATCTGTTGCAAAATAATTTTATAATGACTAAACTACCCCTCAATATAAATTTAATAAAATGATACGCCTTTAATATTAAATCAAAATTAATAAAAATAATTCATCTGGCATAATTTTTTTAATGGTGAGTCTCTAAGAACTTGAAAATATCTTGAAACAATTTTCAAAAGTTTCTTAAGTTTCTATTTTTAAAAAATAAAGAAGGAAATAAAAAACCAAAAATTAAAATCATTTTAAAGTAAACCTAAATTTTCTTAAAGTTAAATTTTTTTAAAAATTTAAAAGGAATTAGAACCTAAAATGAAAATATTTTTTAAATTTATATTAAGGGATATTTCCATCAATATAACCTCACTTTGCTACATATTTGATAGTTATGGAGGTTCTATGTCAACTTTTTTCTTAAATAGGGATTTCTTGTCAAAAATTGAAAGTAAAGGAGATTTTATGCAATTACTTGTTTTTTAATTGATTTTATATGAATAAGAGTTGATTTCACAAATTAAAAATATTAATAACATCATGATATTGTCAATCCCACTAGTAAAATCAATCAAAATTATGCAACTTTTATACTCTCCTCGTCATTTTCCTAATTTTATTCATAAAATGAGGCAATCAACGTACAAATGCTATCATCTTTGCTAAATTTGACTACAAAAGGAAAATAGTAGTACCATTGAATGCTTAGATTGAATCATTCTAATCTCTCATCTCAAAATAAGTGTTCACATTTTTATATTTTGCTTTTCCAAAATAATTATCCCCATTCAAGAGTCAATTACTATATTTTATAACATTTCTAATTTTGAATATTTAAAAACAACTAAATGTAAAACATTATCATTTATACCAAGTGGTTTCGTTAAAGTGTCAGACTTCCATTCTCTGTATCTACTAATCTAATTTTTAACACTTCTTGCCTTGTAAAAAAAAATACAAAGGGCCTTGTGGTCCAGTAGTATCTCATCTATCTCCCGAAATAAACAAAGTAGGTGTGTGAGTTTCTTTCCAATAAAAAAAATAAAAATAATAATAAACCCATCATAAATATATTTGACAATTCATTCCCTACTAAAAAAAAAAATGAATCAATCTTAAAAATTAGGTTTTTAAAAAGTTGACAATGGGATGAATGGAATATATATATATATTTAATGACATTGGGCTATATTCTCTCTAAATATACTTGTATACAAATTTTGTTTCAATGGAAAAAATAATTGGAATCTAATAACAGATGTGTGTATGGTGATACATGTATATAACCCTGGAAAATTAATGTTTATTTTTTTTTGTCGTCGTGGTAGTCGTTGTGGTGACAAAAAAAAAATTATCCCAATATTTTTGGCGAAAGTCAGATTCTCTACCATAAAAAGAACGAGATGATAAGGAAAAGAAAAAGAAGACAAAATTTAAAAGATAGAGTAAGTTTCATTAATTACCAAAATAAATACTTCTAATTTTTTTTATAAATATATATTTTTTGACTTGTTAAAAATAAAATTAATATGTTGACAAATTAGGCTCCGGCACTTGGAATACAATTTCAAGAGAGATGCCGTAAAAAAGAAGGGGCAGCATAGTCCTTTCACGACGAAGGCGCCCCATTAGTTGAACAAACGGTGCGCAAATCACAATCTATGGATATGTGTGACTGTGGACTTGTGGAGAAAAGTGAAAGCAGAGTCGCCGGAGATCATGAAATCACCCAAAAAGATATCGGTAAAAACTCATTCTGCATATATTTTACACAAACAATATTGTATATAGATATATTGGAAATTGAAGCTCTGAGACTGACAATTCTGACGTTTCTTTTTCTAAGCCACATAAAGCAAGAAATTAAATTAAATTACTACTACTACTCCTACTACAATTCACACTCATATATACATCTGGAAAATCAGGTCACCACTCACCATAAAGAATCACTGGTAAATTTATAAAAAATAAAAAATAAAAAAGATTAAAAAAAAATAAAAAAACAAAATTGAATTAAATAAAAAAACTAAAAAATGCCCCACCTCACCTCGTCTATTAATAGTTATCTTGGCCTTCCAAGTCGAAAATCAATCTATACACACACAGATAAAGCTTAAAGCTTTTTATAGTGAGAGAGAAAGGGGAGTGGTCTTCATGAGAGTATCTCTGAAGCAGATAAACTTATTCAGGATTTTGTTCTATCACCATGTGCAATCCAAACAGCACACCCGCCATAGCTGTAACTGAACAACCAAACCAAACACCACAAACCCATTTCTACTTCAATCTGTTATCACTACCAGACACCATCAAAGACCACGAAAACCCCAAACCAGACTCGAAAAACAGAACCCAATTCATCACTTACTCACAGATCATCAAAGAGACCAAAGCACTCTTTCACCTCTCTTTACCCATTGCACTAACCGGCCTCATCCTCTACTCTCGTTCTATCCTCTCCATGCTCTTCCTCGGCCACCTCGGTGACATCGAACTCGCTGCCGGCTCTCTCGCCATTGCCTTCTCAAACATCACCGGTTATTCGGTCCTCTCCGGCCTAGCTTTAGGCATGGAGCCTCTCTGTTCACAAGCTTTTGGTGCCAATCGTCCCAAGTTTCTCTCTCTAACTCTACATCGCTCTGTTATTTTCCTACTTGTTTCCTCCATACCCATCACTTTTTTATGGCTCAATGTTTCCAAAATTCTTATATATTTACACCAAGAACCCATTATCACACGCTTGGCTCACACGTACCTCATCTTCTCTCTCCCTGACCTCTTCACCAACTCCTTCATTCACCCAATCCGCATTTACCTTCGCGCTCAAGGCATCACCCACCCGCTCACGTTAGCATCACTCGCCGGCACGATTCTCCACTTACCCATCAACTTCTTGTTCGTCTCTTATCTCCGGCTCGGCGTCGCTGGTGTCGCCGCCGCCTCCGCCGCGTCCAATTTCATCGTCTTGGTGTCTCTAGTTCTGCACGTGTGGGCCACTGGATTGCACGTGCCGACGTGGACCACGCCGAGCCGAGAGTGCTTCACCGGCTGGAAGCCGCTGATTCGGCTTGCTGGGCCGAGCTGTGTTTCGGTGTGTTTGGAGTGGTGGTGGTACGAGATCATGATCGTGCTGTGCGGTCTACTGGTGGACCCCAGAGCAACGGTGGCTTCAATGGGTGTGTTGATACAAACGACGTCGTTGATATATGTGTTTCCGTCGTCACTCGGGTTCGCGGTTTCAACTCGTGTGGGGAATGAACTCGGAGCGAATCGACCCGATAATGCTCGGGTGTCAGCCGTGGTGTCTATATTTTGGGCGGCTCTGATGGGTTTATCAGCGACGTTTTTTGCTTCTGGAATGAGAGGTACGTGGGGCAGGATGTTTACTAACGATGTCAAGATCCTACGGTTGACATCGGCTGCTTTGCCAATCCTAGGGCTGTGCGAGCTCGGGAACTGTCCACAGACAGTCGGGTGTGGGGTGGTCCGTGGGACGGCCCGACCCAGCACCGCGGCTAACGTGAACCTGGGAGCATTCTATCTGGTGGGAATGCCAGTGGCGATTGGGCTTGGGTTTTGGACAGGGGTTGGTTTTTGTGGGCTGTGGATGGGCTTGTTAGCAGCCCAGGTATGTTGTGCGGGGCTGATGTTGTATGTGGTTGGGACCACGGACTGGGAGTACCAAGCGATGAGGGCACAGGTGCTATCGTGCACAGGATGTGGAGAAACCGCACTGTCCGGAGATTGTGACGATCAGAACAAGGAACCCTTGATTTGTATAATGGTCACTTCATCATGATAACCAAACGATTGATGTAATTTTTATTTTTTATATAACCTTTTATTTTTCCTATTAATTTTCAAGTTTGATTGTGAATGACTTACCTAATTTGGGATTTAAGAGAATTAGTAGTAAAGATGTTGATTTATTTATTTTCTGGGATTGGCTATTTCTATCCTTAACACACTACTCACTGTCTATGAATCAAAATTGCCCCTATTCAGAAAAAATAAAAATAAATAAATTATTGCCCCTAAAGGCTTTATATATATGTAACTAATTTAATTCCGTAGTTTTCACATCACCACCCAAGTTGTAAAGAGGTAGTAATAAAAATCTACAAGTATTAAATTTAAACGTTTTGTCTTTCCAATGTTTGGTTATTTTGTAATTTGTACGTTTGGTTATGTTTCATAAATCGAAACATTCTCTCTCTTAGCATTGACTGACAAAATAACGCACAAAAAAATGGTAAATAGTAGTCGTAAATATCAATTCAATAATGAAGCTCAATAATATTTGCAACACCTGCATGAATGTACCCTTAGACCAGTTAATAGACTTTTGTGTGCACTTGCATGGATTTTTGGTAACTTACATATATGACAAAGATGATGACTGGTCTTAAATGTCTGACAAAAGATGATCGATGACCAAAGAAATATGCAATCCCACACTTTGTTCTTTTAGGTGCGAATATTTTCCTTGGTTATAATTTACTTGAACATTGGTGTACGTTAAAGAAATCATTGAATAATAGAAGATATTTTAGAAAATTGAGAGGGTGGGTTTATACTTTATACCACTGAAGAGGTTGAAAGCGATGTCTAAAGCTATACCATTCTCCCCAAGGATGAATAATTAGGGAATATTATTACATTTACAAGGAGTTTTGCACCTTTATTTATGATTTTACGCGGAGCTAAAGTCCTTATGTTTTCAAAGAATAAAATTAACTTAAATGTTGATATTTATTTGCTGAAATTATTTTTATTATTTTTAGGTACTATTTTTGTACATACAAGTATTACTACTATTCGACCTTATAATCAAATATATCTTGATTGTAAAGAATCATGCATTATAAATTAAGCTCCACTATCTTGGCTATTAATATTGAAGTGATCCCAAAAAGACGAGATACGTATTTTTATAAAAAAACAATTCTTAATTACGTATCTTTACATGATGGTTTTTACTCCAAGGAAAAGCGGGACAATTAGGTTGGGTTGCTTTTTCTAAACTGAAAGTATATATATATACACATTGAATCCTTTGAGCTTCTAAGTACATATAATGCATGGTTCTGAATATAAGGAACCAATTTACCTTAAGTTGATCTGATAAACGTCTAAACAATGGATTAATTATTAAGTAGAATAATCACATCAGCTACATAAACGACGAATGGAAATCATCAAACTGACCATACATGTTGAGTCATTTTCATTGGTTGAAGTTGTACCAAATGGTACCCTATAGGTGTGGAGCCCACTAAACAATCTAGCTAGTGATATTTATTTCCATCCTCATAATATGGATAGAAATACCCTGTAAACAAACAGTGCCCATAAGGGAAAAGGTGATGCACAGCAGAGATGGAGTCTATAGTGCCATGAAAGTTCAGGGGAAGGGAAACAAAATAGGGTCTTGTCGGTTTTTTAAGTGCCAGAAGCTTTTTATGCAGGCTTTGCACGGGGAGGGCATCGGCCATCAGCATCACATAACACACACATATTTGTTTTTCAGTGTTTGTATGTATATATATCTATATATTACTAGTATGTGTGTGTATATATATATATATATATATATGAGTCAAATCAATTTTGTTGTTATATTAGGTACATTCAGCATCAATTAAATTCATCTCCCCTCTGTCTTCATGTCTAATTAGCATTTCAATTGATATATATATATATATATATACACACACACACACACGTCCCTGTCTACTCTCATTTCTCATGCTGCATATAAGGGCCGAAGCAGCACTGCTTACTGGTCCCGACCATCAAATCTCTATTAACTTTTCATCCAAATTCACAACTTTTCTTTTCTTACTTTGTTGGCATTTTATATGCCATTTTAATTCAGTACTCATAACCCTATCATCCAACTTGTAGCATTTTTCTTAATATTTTTTAATTTTATATGTAATAAGGCCGGTTAGCTAGACAGAAAGATGTATTCCATTTCAAAAATTATTTTATGAAAATTTGGTGATTTAGAACAGTTAAAATTTTTAACTTGTTTAAACTCTTCTACTCTTATACCAGATTTTTAAGAAATACATCTCTCCAAGGACCAAAGCGCACCTATACTTGTAGTTTTCTTTTTCTGTGTTTCTGAGTGTGTATATAAAAGTTGAATTACAAAAAGAAAAGTACAAGCAGGAGACATTCCATCATGACCTCTTTTTTTTTTTTTTCTTCATAAAATGTAATCGGAAAAAAAGTACAATTTCATTAAAATTTCCACCATAGCCACAGTTAAACAGTTAATAATTGATGATTGAGGTGACTACTACATGGCATAACTTAGATTTTTTATTTTTATTTTTATTTTTTTATTTTATCTTTTTGAATGAAGGTATTTTGTCATGACAAATGTCTCTTGAGGATCTTGATATAACATTGACCCTTATTGAGCTAGCTTTCTAAAGTACGTACAGTTATATATATATATATATATATGAAGCTCTAAAGTTTAATCCAAGGAGCTACCCCTGGCTGTTCTGTACAATTAAGAGACGCTTTCAAATTGGATGCTAACTTTAAATTATTTTGAAATGTATAAATTAAGCAATATTATATATTACTTAGCGTTTGAACTGGAGGAGGATCAGATAGGGAGATCGAGCTCAGCAAATTTATATAAATAAATAATATTGTCAGAAACCAAGGAGACATTGATGAGGCTTCATTTTAGTATTTAGTTTACAAAATACAATCTTAAGTTTGTTTTTTTATTTTTTATGATAATGACTTAACATCATCATCTTCATTTGTCCACGTCTTTGGGTTGATTGTTATCGTTATGTGAGTGGTCAAACTGATTACCAAACAAGTATGAATGGCGAGTAGCGACAGGAATGGTGACTCTCCATTACTGCATGCCTAAGCTAATAGCTACGAACAGCGAGTTTGTTGCAATTCATTTATATTTTATTCTACCTAATATTTAAGTGTAGACTCCATCTTACAATATAAGTATGATATCAACTTTGCGCATGTAATATATACATACGTAATATATATATATATATATATATATATATATATATATATATATATGATCACATATGTGTAGAAATAAATAATATGGATCAAGATTTTTTAAGACATAAATAAATAGACAACAAGAAGACTGAAATTTGTGGGGGGAAAACATTGTAGTATTAATGTAGTTGCTTGATGAACTGGATCATATTCATTGCACTCACATGCTAATGGGATAATATTATATACACAATTATTGACTCAACTTTGAGAGGGTTTTGCTCTACTGTGTCTCTCTTATCCATTCTTATGTTGAAAATTACATCTTATATATTGGTTTTCTGGATTTTCTTACCATATATAAAAGATTGAAATAATTAGATCAAGCTTGACTTGTTACAAACATGACGCGTCCAGTGGGACTCATGTGGACTGAAGCTAGGTAATGAAACCAAAAACTTTTTATTGATTAGGGACATCACCAACAATTGCCAAAATCATTTTCAAAGGTGAAAGACACATTAAAGAAAAAGGAGGTGAAACACCTATATATATATATTATACTATACATTTTTTTTTTCTTTTGGTTCGATGTAAACAATTCACACACATCTATAAAAATTTTCCCACTTCTTTTTGTGGAGGAGTGATTCTATTACCCCAGAAAGTATGTTGTACCCGGAGATATTTACACGGGATACTTACATTTGGTACCCTAGACCAATGGACACTAATGAAAACGTTTTCTTTGATAATAGAGCAATGGAGAGTTATATATAGAGAGAAATAATGTGTGTGTGTGTAAGATTATAAACTGCTTATACTAAAAAAAGCATAACAAGGTGCCCAGAGTCATTACTTTGGAAAACCCTCCCTTTATTTGATCAACTAAGATAACTCTATCTCTTACAGCAAAGTAGTATCAATGATCAACTTAATCCCCAATAAAATAAAATAAAATAAATAATGTAGCATAGCTAGATTGTCCCCATCTAAAAGAAAATTTCAAGTTGTTAATGTCCCCATGTTTATCAGAAAGCAAATGTACATGTCAGTATATACTGTATATATATAACAAAATAGACCCCAACAGCCTGCTTGTAGAAACATTATCACGTGCAACCATGCTTTTGAAAGGATTATTTTCGATGTCACCTATCAGCCTTTGTTTTATGGGTGGAAAAGATATTAACGTGCATATGAGTAATGAAGCCCATTTCAAGGTCTAAAACTCTTTTGGTACATTAACTATTTTTATTTTATAGGCAATTAAGCTTAATTGTCAAGATAATACGAAGACGCGAGATCCATCAATGAAAATATCTCATAACTATTGTTTCGATCTATCTGTCACAGACAACATTCTCAAACCAGTAATCTCACAAAAAAATATATTAAAAACTCTAGCTTGCTAGGTTTACTTTATCCATCACTTTTATGAAAAACAACATTTAATTGTTGTTAATCTGATATGTATATTGATGAATTAATCCTCATACCTATAATTTTTAGTTTGTAGAGCAGATTAGCAGCATATATATATATATATATATATATATATATATGAAGAAGATGATAAAGCTAAAGGAAGCCTGTGCTGGATCTAGTCACAGAGTCCCCACGGGTGCCTGATCAATGAACAGCTGAGAGGTAGGTTGCCATTCCCTAGCTAGCTTAATTGTTAGCATTAAAATGTTAGAGAAGTAAATATATATTCATGCACAGAAAAGAAATTATAGGAACAACATGATTGATATAGACCATGATCATGCTTCTCACATGGCTGAAGCAAATGGCTGGTACTGTCCTCTCTCTCTCTTTCATATCTTCTTATATATATATATAATTGTCTATCTCCTCGTCTTTCCAGGACTTGTTGCCATTCTTTGAGTCTCACAAAACCCCAACACCACCATCATCACCCAAACCCACTCCATCATGCCTGTCTATATGTGAAAGGAAACCCTATGGTTGTTGCTATACGGTATGTGACATATTAATTAATTATATAAAAAAAAAATTCATTGTAGGTGAAGTTAATTAGGGCATAGCCTTTGTCTACCTTAGAAGCAACAATTAAGACACAACCCAATACACTTTGAATATTCCTAGCTCTCAGCAGCAGCAGCTTTGCATGGGTAGACTAGGGTTTTTTTTAGTTCCATGATTGGTTCAACCTACTGTTTGTTTATATCTCAAATAGGCATGACCTGTTCCCCGTCCCCCAAGTGGACCTGACCTGACCTGACCTCCTTCAAACACATGACTATGTCTATGTGTGACATATATATATAAGCATCTTTGTATATGTAATTATAGAATTAGTGTAGAATGCTTGTTAATTAGACTTCATTCACTACTCCCATCATCCTCTACTCCCTCTAGGGTCGACACGTGGAAACTTGTACTTATGATCGATTGTGATATTGTGTGACGAAATGATAGTATGTATTTGAGGCTGCTTCTCCTTTTTGGGCCTTTGAGGGTGGCTCCAAGATGTACAAGTGGATATTTTTACATTAGCATGCCACAGGCCAAACAAATGCAACCCAGATCCCCTCTCGTTTAGGTATTCTGTGCACACATCATTCGACGCAGTTATATCACAAAATGCAACACTTATCATGTAACAATTTTTAAAAATTATGCAACACATTTTATGGAAGATACAATATTTATGCAACATATTATATCGCATTATTACATTATAATTCATTGAATCAAGAATTTAACACATTTAATTATGGAATTGTTGTATTGTCGATTTAAAATTGTTTGGATTCACAATTTAAATTTATTGTATTAAGCTTAAAAAAAAAAAGAAGAAGAATTAGAAGACAGATCCTGGTTGAAACAAATGATAGCATGTTTAGGTGAGGATTATTAAGCGTGTTAGAGACGAATTTGACCTGCTTACAATGAATCTTGAAAAAAGAAACTAGGGAAATTAAGGTGAAAAGGTTTGTGAGATAACCAATGAAATAACGACATGTCCTTAAGCAGAGCATGAGCTTTTGAGAGTCATACCGAAACCTTCACTCATACACTTGACCTCTACAGTCAGTCAACGCTTGTGCAAGTAAGGTAGGGCTAGTAATTGTCTCCCCAAATGTGGGTGTAAATTGACCAAATATGCCCCCAAAGGCAAAATGGTCATTTCACATGCAAACAAAGTCTCAATAGATGTATGTCATCTTTAAGACATAAACATGACTTCAAGTCTTTTTGAATTCGATCTCCTTCTCATCCTTGGCACCAGGGTGTGATATCTTTTTAATTAAGGAGAGAAATAGTCAGCAGTGGGGGCTTGGACCAGGCCTACTACGATGCATAAACATATCAGGAGCCCAACTTACTTTGTTCGGTCTAGAAAGTCCAATCAATCAATCAGGCCCAGACTGGGCCGCCCAGTGATGCTAATCTACGGGTTACAGAAGTAAAAATTCAGTTTCCTTACTTGGCAAGTCGTTCCTTGTCCTGGTCTCTCTATTGAGAAGGTAATGGGCCCAAAGGATTTCAAAGCTTCAATCTTTGGGCTTTTAGCTTAGTATAGTTGGAGGCAAATTTCAAATCTTGGGCCAAGATTCTTTCAGATGATTTTTTTTATGAATGTTAGAAATATTTTCTTTGGTGTGGGCTAGCCTGAGTAAAGAACTTTAGAGTGCCAACAAAAAACGAGAACCACCCCACCCACAAACAAATTGTTTGTATTGATTATTGCATATATCAAATTTAATTGGAAAATACTTTTAAAGCGGAGGAGTAGTAGAGAATTCCTTCACAGAATACTTTTAATTGGGATGAATCAAGAGTATTCTGATAAAGAATTCAGTTCAACTCTTCCCTCAATTCAAATTATATCTCTCTCTGTGTTTTTTACTCCTTCAAAGAAAGAAATCAAGTAGATGAAGGTACTTGGGCTTTGGCCATGTTTCATTATACTCGAGATATCAAAGAAATTAAACATAACACATTATTATTATATCATAATTTCTTGTAATTCTTTCCTTCATCCAAAGATATGTGGTATCGATGAATGATGAAGATCGAATCAAATCCTATTTAATTACTCTAAGGACTACTACATATTGATCAATATTATCATTTAATTAAGATGGGCTTCTTAAAAAAGAAAAAGAAAAAAAGAGAGAAACAATTGTGGACATTATTAAAATTTGATCCATTCAGAGCCATCGACGAAGCTAAGTGAAATAAAAGGCTTGGCTTCCTCATCCGTGAGTTCTCTTGACCATGATACTCTTCCTGCAAAGCTTGCACCTGGTCCCGTGCACTTGTATTGCCCATAAAACACAGTCCTGCACCCCAACCACACACACTATCAATACTACCTCTTATATATATATAATACAGATGCTACTGTGACCTAATTTAAATTTGTATGTGCAGCCAATGTATCGTAGGTAATATCTCATCTATATATATGTCTTTTCTCCTTGTCTAGAGGTTAAGTTCCTAACCACCACTTGTTACCAAAAATGTCCTCCACCTATATATATATATATCTAGAGAGAGAGAGAGAGAGAAATGAATGATTGAAGGTTGCTATTGGTGGGAGTGTGTATATATATATATATAGTTGCGTGATTCAATTAAATAGAGTTATAACAAAATAGAATGGAGAATTTGCCGCTAGTACTCACTGCTCGGGAAGAAAAAGAGAACATGACATTGACAGATAGTGTAGGCTGTAGCCCATGTAAAGAAGTTATGCGTTCGATAGGGGGTGGCACCGTCCAATGCGCATTGTGAATATATTGTTATAATTTGGCATGTTAAGAAAACCAATTATATTTGGATGATTACATCATCCGTTGTTTACATGTTACATCCACCTATGCAGTCCCCAAATGTATTTTTGTTTACAAGCTAGTGCTCGATCACGATAAAAAGAGAATAACAAATATTCTATACCATTGTTTACAGATTTTTATATTTTTATTTTTAAAACGAATAATCAACTCACACACTAATCACTTTGAACTCTTGAATGACTTGCAAACTACAAATACACACAATTGTTTACAAACCTAATAGACGTAATATATATTAATCACAGCATGTGAAAATGGATAGGAAAAAATATTCTAGCTAATTGGGGGGGGGGGGGGGGAGGGAGAGAGCTTACATACATTTCTCGAGTAGGATCACCCCAGTTGTACCAGCCTTTGGGAATGATAATGTTGTCCATATATGTATAGGCAAAGACTACCCTAGAGAAGGGACCCCATGCCCTCCCTAGGTACAGAGCACCTGACCCCGTGACCTTACAATTCACAAATGAGAATCCCGTGTCTTCCAATAGGCTGCTCCTTCCTTGTGCTGTAAGTGCCCCTGTTAACTGTGCTATTGCATGCACATGACATCCCTGCATTCCCAATTACCACATATATAATATACTACTAGTATTTTTATATATCTCTCTCATCACATCACAATCCTTAACAGAATAACAACAATCACAAAGTTTGTCTGTCACGCATCTTTTTTTTCTCAAGTCACGACACTAGACTAGTAGTAATTTTTTCAGCTTTTCAATACTGGTTTCAATTGTACTTCACTACAAAACTGTGTTCTACAACTTCTCACACGCCCACATGCCAACAAAAGAGTCCTAGTGGTTTAACTGTCAAATCCTACGCCTCTTTAACCCCACCCCCTTACTGGATCATCACATTTTCAAACTAGTGAATTTTATATTATTATAGTAACAAAAATTCATCATTTACAGTGATGAACTTCACCCATCGATCAAATGAAACTGCAGATGATTTTAATCCCCTTCGTAGGCTGGTATCAATCTTTTACCATTCAATAAGTTTCATTTAGTAAATAAACATTATCTAGTTACAGTAGTCTATAATGATTTAGGGTAAGAAGGAAGGGGATACACCTAACAAAATAGAGAAAAGCAGAGGACATGTACTACGGTTTGTGAATTTGGCAAAAAGTAGTTTGGGGGTATCCCTATTGCCAAAGTTGTGTCCTTGTAGAACAAGTGTTGTAGCAGTTGGTAAAACTAACTATTCAAAGAAGCGTTACTTTAGGCTAGTTTGGGTACAGAAAATTCCAACTGACCTCAAACAGAGACAGACCATTGCCAAAGATGAAATCCACAGAGCCTTCAATGTAGCAGTCCTTGTAATAATGCCTACCCATATGGTCATAGAGTGTGTCCTGTGCACCCATGAACCTACACCCTAAAAAAGCTGCTGTATCTCCTGATATTCTAAATGCCACTGCTTGCTTTCCACTAGCTCCTGGTGGTGGAACTGGTGTTGTGTTCTGCAATTAATCATGTTAATTTACTTGCACAATTGTGTGCGTGCGTGTGTGTATATATATATATAGAGAGAGAGAGAGAGGTTGATATAATACCTTAAATGTAATGTTTTTGGCAATGAAATATGGGGCATTGACAGCAAATGTTGCAGAAGCAAAGGTACCAATAGGCTTCCCTTTAGCTCCAATTGTTTGGGCTGTATCTCCCCACTGAACAATGGTCTTTTCTGCTCCTGCTCCTTGTATGGTTATGAATGATTTCAATTTAGGTATATCTACCTTTTCCCTGTAAATTCAAATTTAACTCTAACAGTTCAGAAAGTGATAAATATATGTATGAGAAAAAATAAAAAAAATAAAAAGATTTCTTATGAACCACTTGATACTTCTTAGTCAAAAGACCACTTCCCACAGCATTATGATGAGAAACCACAAAAGCCTGAATATTGACAAAAGCCTCAAAGTCCATGACTATAAACAACAACAATTAATATATTGAAGTACTTACGTGTAAACTCCTGAATGAATTTTGATCACTACTCTGACAAGATTTATGAATGGGAGAGAATCAATAGCTTTTTGAATGGAAGTAAAGTCTCCGTACACCGGATTTCTATCGACGGTAAGTGTGTAAGAAGGGAAGATTTTGTTCTTCGCATTGGAGAAGAGGGTGTGCTTGAGGCTACCAACAAAAATGACCCACTTCATGAATTGTTGTTCCGAGAATTGGGCTTGTGTCATATTTGTTGTTGTCAGGTGCTTCCCCAAAGAGCCCTTTGGTCTGATACCCTTGGTGTGGCATAGCGTGCGGCTTGCATTTACAAAGAGAATAAGAATGATAATACTATGGGAAATGTGTCCAAAATTAGACATCTTTATTAGAGAGTGAGAATATAAGAATTAGAGTGAGAGAGGAAAGGAATTAATGTTAGTTGAGACTTTGGAAGTGGTTTATGTGATCATTTATATATATATATATATATATATATGTGAGTCCTTTAGTTGGAAATTGATGTCAGAGTTGGAGAACAATGACATGGAGAGAAAGGTCACGGGTGCTTCCACTGACATCAATGTAGAAAACGTTTGTTTCTAAGATTGGTGCCTTTTTGTGGCGTTTTGGTGGTGGTGTTTACCCGTGAGTCCTCTCTCATTGTTTGTGTATGGGTGTGTATATTCGTAAAAAATATATAATCATATATTTTTGTATTCTAATTAGTATCTTATCATTAGCTTTTGTATTCTATTTTGGTCTCAATTAGATCGTCTATTTGTATTTTGTAGACCCAAGAATAAGCAGGGTTTAAAAACTTCACAGTCCGACTATTTCGCATAATTCATATCAAATGGGCTAAAACTAATCGGATTGTTTCTCATAATTACACAATATATGTGAGACGAAAGGATTGATAAAGTATTTGTGTTTGTCAGAAATATTTTGAGGCTGAGTTATATATTTGACTAGAATACACAATGCTTTACAGTGTGGTCAAAATTATCATCCCGTGATTATCAATAATGATTGTGTTTTCTTTTCATATATAAGTACAAATTTGAGAGAGAAATTTCAAATGTGCAATGAATTTGTAGGAAGAGAAATGGCATGGCGTTCGAAAATCAGTGAAGACTGGTCGAACCTGAATCAAATCATATTAGATGATGTTGGCACAGATTCAAGAACCAGCAACTTTGTTGTAAGAAACACACTATTTGAACGCTTTTTGTTATGTTTTCCTTTCTTTTTTGCCTTTTTTCTTGAGTTCTTTTTTACGGCCTTGTCTACTTTAGAAACATTAACATAGATATCAGGTGAATTAGTAACATCAGATCCACCTGGGATCATAACAGAGGAATCAACACCTCTTAAGAGAATTCTGACATGAAGAATTGCCTTGAAACTGATTCCGTGGGCTGAGTGTGGGCCGTGTTTTTTGTTCGCGCTTTGGCCTTGTTTTGTAATCTCGTTTAATTTCAATATGATACATTTACCTTCTTAAAAAAAAAATTAAATAAATAAAATAAAATAAAATCTTCCTATAAAAGAGCTAAAAGAAAAGGACAAATAACACAACATTATTATTGGCTGGTTGGTCCCACACACGTTGGCCCTATGCGTGACTATCTCATTCTGGCCCCCCCCCCCCCCCCCCCCCCGCGCCGCGGGGCACCAATAAAAAAATAAAAAAAAAAAAAAAATTAGTATAATATGTTTAGCCTAATTTTTTTAAAATTTTAATAATAGTATTAGTCTCCTTTTTAATTCATTCAAAAAAAAATTACTTATGAAATTATGTAATTAAATTTATGTTCAATATTAATCTCCATTCCATTTGACAATTCTTAGATTCACTCTTGTACCTGACTGAGATAGACAGTCATTTCAATCAAATGAAAAGTTACTGATTTAACTTTTTAAAGAAAATCATATACCATATCCGGTATTTAATATACTCATTACTTCCTTAATTATTTGGTTATATTATGCTCAAATAAATAAAAAACTTTAAAATCCACTAAATCATATACTTCTTCTAAAGGTTTCAAAATATTAAGAAAATAAACAATTCTTGTACTATATTTACTTTGGTAGATGAAAACAGAGATCCGTCTGCTTAGTAAAATTGTTTGAAGAAAAGACATGATATATATAGTTGAAACATATCCATTCTGTGAGAACAATTCTTTTTCAACTAAGCATATAAAAGAATCAAACTGGGAATTAATTAAAATGCATACAAAACTACTTATCCAAAAATGATTTCGCCCAATGCAAAACATAACACGTACATTAAATACAGGAAATTATAATTTAAATAAAGATGTGTGAGAGAGGGCCATCGGTTCTGAGGGATTTCTAGTTCCTTATTTCAAGATTCTCATAAAAATAAAAAGTAATACGAGTAAATGAAAAGGTGATATATACATAATATGCAAAAGTTTTGAATCTTATGTAATTGATTTTCTTTCATTTATCTTCAATAATTTTTTCCAAAAAGAAAAAAAGAAAAAAAAAAACAGAGCAGATACATTAAATTTGTACGTTAAATGGCCGCCTTGCATTATCCGATTTCTTTGCATTTTCCAACGTTTTCTCAGAAAACCAACAGACCACTTTCTTACTTCGTTTGTTTCCTCCTCACTAGTGCCGGCCCTCTTTCTTTTTCTTTCTTACTTATCCATTTAACCCAAACATAGCATAAAATTTACAAAATAAATAAAGAAAATTACATAAAAAAAAAAAAAAAATTGAAGAGGAAAAGTTACTACTACTTAGAATCCATTCATTTGTACTACAATATTGGATGGAATAGATCAAATGATCTAACCACACCCAGATCTACATTCAGTAAGAAAATAATAAAATTAAAAGATGCAATTTATTAAGATAGAGACCAGATCCAGATCATCACCCACCCTACATCAGAAATATATACAAGATCAGTCAAAGGAAAGTCTTAGATGGTCGATCAAGGGTCAATAGTGTCTTGGGGATCTTCAAAGTTGGGATCCTTAGCATCAAGAGCTTCTTTCTGGAATCCAAGCTCAGGATGAGAGTAGCCATCACCCGACCATGTAAACTTGCCACCATGACCTCCCTTCTTCGGCGATCCGTTCATCCCACTCGCTGATTTCTTATCGTTGCGCACGCCCTGTACAGCCTTCTTACTGGGTTTCCAACCCTTTCCTGTGTTCTTCATTCTCTCTCCTCTCTTTTTTTTTTTCTCTCTCTAAATATATGTGTCTATGTATAGATGATATAATAAGTGATGGATCTTGGATTGGTATTTATAAATGATCGGTATTGTACGGGTATTTTTATTTCAGTAATAAATATAGTCTAACAACCACCACTTAAGATAAGACCTATTTCGGTGACGACCAAAAACAAAAAAAAAAAAAGATAAGACCTATTTCTAGTTTTTATTTCTCAAGGGAAAAAGGATAAACTTTTGCCATTAGTTTTCAACTTTTCGTTCTCGCGCGTGAATTTTTTATCATAATATTTTGGGCTGTGAGGGGGAATATATTTTATTTTTTAGGTAAATTGTAAGCGCTTTTATAGTAAATTTTATTTATTTATTTTTCGTCAAATAATCCCCTCGACTAATTGATGGATTATTTTTTAAATTTTTACTAAAAATACCTTCACCAACCGTTAAAGAGATTTTATACAATTTGCCTAATAAATAAATAAATAAATATATATATATATATATATGCATTTTTATATACATATTTTGATTTATAAATGTATATATGGGTTTATATATCGTAATTAGTGGCTTTTGTTCAAATTGGGTTTAAGTTCATTTGAAAAGTAGTATAATTTTTATAATAATACCAATTTAACCTTTCGTAATTAATCCATTATCAAAATAATTAAAAAAATATTAAAACTTATCCTCTTAAAAAATTAGATTCAAAAAAAAGAACATTTAATTTAAGACGAAGGGAGTACATATTTTTATTTATACAATACGTATATTAGGGGAGGACAAAAATTCAGCCAAATTGAATATTCAAACCAGACCGGACCGTTTGGTTTGGTTTGCTAACGATTTGATTTGGTTTGCTAACGATTTGGTTTGGTTACAGTTCCAAAATTGTGAAACCGTAAAAATACGAGTTGGTCATGATTTAAGGTCTTTTATGACCGAACCGAACCGTTTAGTTATTTATATACATGTTAAATTATATATATATATATATATATATATATATATATTATAATATAATCTTATAATCCAAATCACTTAAAAGTTTTAACTATCAATCCTATAGTCCACTTTTAATTCTTTAAGGTTTTATCAATTTATTAAATGATTATTATTTTTTATTGATTTACAATGGTTGAATTTTGTTGATTTTCTGAATTGTGGCCGAATGTTTGTTGTTGAATCAGTAATTTTGAATATATTAGGTTATTAGCAATTCTGAATTTATTCATTTCGGTTCCAAAAGTGATAGAGAAGTATGAATTAAAAGTTCTCAATGTTTTTGTTTATTGTTGTGCATTTACATTTTGAAATATGAATACTTTTGCAGAGAAAAAAGAAAAAGAAAAGGAATAACAGGGAAAAAAAAAAAGTACATTGGAATCGAATCGAACCAAACCGGTTTCTCATGGTTTGGTTTGGTTTATTTGGTCAAATGGTTCGATTTGGTTCTAAATTTTCTGGAATCGTTAGCATTTGTTTGATTCCCAAAAAACTCTCAAATTAATTCGTGTGCCCCCCTAGTGTGTGTATATATAGGTATATGAAGTAGACATTTGATTAAACAATTAGATGGCAAAAAATGAATTTTGCTTACAAAAATAATTGAATAACACAAAATAGTTTTTTTTTTTTTTTTTTTTTGAATAGAAAAAAAAATGAAAAAGAAAAAGAAAATGATATTACAGCATTTAACTATGCTAGAGATATGTTAAAGAAATAACATGTAGTTGCATTATAAATATGATTGCAGGTAATGAAAAGTATAAGTTTAAATATTATTATTCAATATATATATATATATATATAAAATTTAACTAAATGAACACGACAATTGGATACATCCATTACCAAGGGCCTTGTGTCCTAGTGATAATTTCTCAAACTTTTAAAATAGGTGGTGAGAGTTTGATTTATTAAAAAGTAAAGTAGGTGTGTGAGTTATAAAAGATATATATATATATATATATATATATATACACGTCCATATAATTTTGGAGGTATTTTTGACAAAAAATTAAAAGATAATATCTCTATTAGACCAAGTCCAATGGTAGTGATTTTAGAGAGTTTGGGCCCAAATTGGCGATGCCAGACTTGCCAGTAGTCCAATGGAGTCTCCAAAAAAATGGGCCTGAGATTTTGGGTTGCCAAAAAAGGGAACCCCGTTGGCTATTGTGGCCTGCTTTAATTTTTTTAACTTTAGTGGCCCAAAATATTGTAGTCCAAACTTAATTTTAAAGGCGCGTTTGAGTTGGAAAAAATTGCAGAAACCAGCATTTTTTTTTTTTTTTTCCTAACTTAACTGTAGTATGCCTGATATAAACAGTGCCTTAAAAAGTTTTAAAAATGAAGAAAGGTGATTTTTTTTTTTTTTTTTTCAATCACACTTTTGACATCATAGTCATTTTAGATATGATTCTATATTGATACAAAAGCATACTTTTTTTTATATATATATTTTAAATTCATATCGTATTGTATTATTTTAATTTTTGTAATTCATAATAAATATTGTATTGTTTAAAAAAAAAATTTTGTATGATATAATCGTTAGGGAAAATTTAAAAGAAAAAAATTACTGCCTAGCGGTATAAATGGAGATTAGGTGTTCGAATCTCAGTGGAGGCAATGTGTGTAAGTCTCAACTCTAAAGAAGAAAAAAATAATATTAAAAATTTTAAAATTTTTAAAGAATGAAAAAATATATATATAATAACTAAAATTTGAAAATTTCAAGACCTTGACTTGCTTTTGAAAAATATTGACTTTACTCTTAAAAAAAATTGACGTGTCAATTTCAAATTTTAGGGACTTCATCATGCTGTTCGATAATAGCAATGCTCTATACTCATGATGTGATTTGACAATGTGGAATGATTTTCGATAAGCAAATGGATAAGAACAATATATAATAATAATAATAATAATGTTCATATACTGTTACCGTCGTAACCATTGACTCATAGTGAAAGCACCCTCCACATGGCTACCGTGGGATTTTACATCCACATATATATATTATTATTTTTTCACAAAAACACATTTTACATCCATATTTCACGACACCACGTTGAACGATCAATGATAAAGACTCTATCTACAAAATGGAACGTGGATTACTATGATTTGTGGAAAAAATTGGCGAAAATTGAAATGTTTAATAATAAATAAAAAATAATAAAAAGAAAAATCATGTGAGAGGGAGGTGGTGGGCTCCCCCCATCTTTCTCTCATTCTGCTGCTTCAATTTCATTGTTCCTCTTTATTTTGAGTGGTGATAGATCCTCGCACCTTTGTTTTGGAATTTTTTTTTTTTTTTCCCCGAAAAAAAGACTCTAAAATCGAATCATCTATCAAGTAAAACTTCTCATTTTTTTTTAACCAATCATTTCCTTTTATTTTGGAAAGTAAAAGTTACAGATGAAATTTGAAAGAGGAACCTTGAAATTTCAAAAAAAAAAAAATCAAAATAATTGTTAGTCCCTTCTAGGCCCATGGCCCGCGATCTACCTACCTTGCTAGACGCTTATTATGTCCACTCCCTCCGGGCCTGTTGATGGTCCGGCCCTCCAACAGGCCTGAGGTGACCCAATAGTCACCTCAAAATTTAAATTCATTCCTCTTTCACTTGTAAGGTAACCGTAACAGGTTCATCCTTACTATGGTGTCTTCTGTAAAAGCCAATATGTTCACTTGTACAACTTCCTTCAATGAGTTATGTTTCCCAAAAAGCTCAATTGGGTCTTATTTGGCAACCATTTTTGCTTCCTAACAAATGGCGTACTATAGTAAACCAAAACACATAAATAACTTTCTTTTATTGCGATTTGAATAAATATGTTTGTTTCTAAAAAAACGAGGCCAAAACCAGAAACACCAAATTGGTGTTTTTAATTTTTGCACAATAACAATTAACAGTACCCAAATTTTTTTTGCTCAAGTTGGATTTGAAGTTGAATTTAGTACTTGTTACATACATACATGCATGCTCTTGTTTGTGAAGTTTTTCATTGCCAAAAATAATTTAAAACAAATGGCATGGTAACAAAAACCATGAAAGGTGTACTAGGTTTGAATTTGAACATTAGAAATCCTTGTGTACATGAATACTACTGGGCCACAAAAGTAGCTCTCTTACCTAGTAAAGACAAAAAGAAAGAACCCCTTGAAGCTTTCTTTGATATGGTAGCCTTAGGACTGAATTTCTGACCATCCAAACCCCCTCCATAGCTCTTACACGACTTCATTTTCTTCTTATAAGGGCTACCCTTCTTTGCAAGATCTTCTAAACTCTTCACACTTGCTAGACTTGCAAATGATTGTGACTTACCTTTATAATGTTTAGACAGACCTCTCCTGCAAATACAAATACACACAGTTACACACAATTAGTCACACTAACTTGTTATTACCACTCTGCCAGCAGAACAAAGAACACACAAACACACACAAAAAAAAAAAAAAAAATCTTTGAAATTACTTACTTGATGGGTAGTTGGTCCATGAGATCAGATAATTCATACAAAGGCCCATATGAAGATGATGTTGACGAGGTTGCATCCTCTACCATGTCTGATATTGATGAAGAAGATGTTGTAACAGAGCTAACTGATTCTTCTTCAAAGGAGGATTCAGAGTCACAAATTTTATCACCAGTACCTTCCATGATCACCCATTGATCAGCATCATTAGAATCATTTTCCTTCAGAGGCTTGTCTTGATAAAAATGCTTTGATCCACTCATTTTGATGACCAAATCTTAGCAACAAGAATAAAAATAATAGCAGAGGAGGAAAGAGGATGAGAAAATCTTAGTTAAAAAGATTTTGTACCTTGTGATTTCCAGCAGGCTTAATTTGAGGGAGCATAGTATATATACACACACACACACACACACACATGGTAGGAGGGTTTTGACTAGTTCTATGATTTGATAAAGAAATGGTATTTGTTGTGTGGATGAAACTTGGTGGTCAATCAAAGGGAATAAATGAGGGGGATTGGAGGATTAGTGCTAGTTTATCTGTTTTAAAATAATTTTCTATATGTTGCTTTATGCTTAGATTTGTCATTATTATCTGTTCTCGTGGGTTTGAATTTCTCGGTTTCTCATCCTACTAAGAGATAGAGGATAAGGTCTGTTTTACTTTGAAGACGTCCATCCGTATCTGAGTCACCACTTTTCCTTTTGGGGAAACTCAGGTCACATTCTTGCCATGCTTGTCCCCCATCCATAAACCTATATATATATATATATATATATATATGACACAAAATCCCATTTTCAAAATTTTGTTTTTTAATATTAGTGTTATCCTCTACCTAAGTCACAACCCTAGTTTTAATTAAGAACTATGGCAAGGTTCATGTGTCCGATTTTTGGATGGAATAAGATGATAGCACTGTAGGCTCTTTACGGTCAATTTTTTTTACTGTTACGGTTTTTTTTTACTGATTGGAATAGATAAAACTTAACGATCACTCTTGTTATTTTTCTTAATAATATTTCTTTCTTACAGCTGTTATGGTGTTGGCTTGGTGGGGTTTTAAATTTAGTGTGGCCCAAATCTTATCCCTAATTAAAAGTCGGTTACATTCCTTCATATTAAAAGTAGTAAACGGTAGGCAATCAAGAGGTCAAGAAGATACAAATTCCAACTCTTACCCCTCAAGTTAGATAGAATTATATATATATATATATATATACACAATGTTGATGTATTTATTAAATTGGATGAAGGGGAGGCCTCACTCCTGAGATAAAGATAAGGTGGTTGACTTGGGGTAAGGAGTGATGGCATTCGCATTGCCATTCATTTTAATTGGAATTCAAAATGCCACCACATGCTGTGCTGGTACCCTCCCCATCCAATCTTATCCATGGTCCCACTGGTTTGACCCGCCCTTTAATCCCCCCAATGCTTGGACCCTTGCCTCTCTATTCCAATGGCTTGCTACCCACACAAACAACCCTCGTACCTTCCATCAACTCTCTCTCTCTCTCTCTCTCTCTCTCTCACACACACACACACACCACCACACAAAAAGAGAGAAGCTTCTATTTTTATTTGTTTATTTATATATTTATATTTTCTGAAAATAAAGTATTTATAATAAAAAAATGGAGCACTGAAAGAATTTTTATTCCTTAACCATTTCAAAATTCATATGCAAAGTATATTATTACCATAAAATATAGAAACTCGATGATCTAATTTTGAGGGTAGAGTGAGTACATAAATGTGTTTCTTCTCATGATAAAAATATAAATAGAGTTGAAGAAGATAATATTTCGAGTATGTCATGAGGAGAGTTTGGAACTCCCCTTGGGATGATAAATAATTTCAATTTAGAAAACAAAAAAATATACATTAAGAGATGCGGAGGGTCCTTTTTTTTCCCATTATTTTTATTTTTCTAGCCCCAAAAAAAGGAACTTGGGAAAGGATGGATTATAATACTCCCTCCCTTCTTACATTTTCATTAAATTCTCATTTAGAAAGATACTTTAGCATTGCATCTATTTACTATAAAACGATGCCCTCCAATTATAATTTATTTGTTTATTATATGTTTGATTTTATCATTATATTTTATTTACAAAAGTTGAAACTCGATCACAGACTGAATAGAGTTAGAATTTAGAAAAGAGATGGGATTGATTAAGGTCAACAAATATTTGAGTAATGAGTTTGGAGCTTTCTTCTGTTGTTCTCTCAGCAACAGATGCTGATTTGAAGGGGTTACCAACTTGAGGCACAAAAACACAGGCAAAAGACCAATAACCCAAATGTCAAAAAAGTATGAGAGGGCCGGTGTAGATTAATGGTACTTCCTCACCTTCTAAAGAAAAATGTCCAAAATGCTGGACTCATAGTATCCCTGCATCCTGTTCTACAAATCCTGCCACGTCACACCATATGTTGTTTAAGTTGAACAAATAAACGAAGTCTTAGCTCTCGGATAATTGTAAGAGTACATACTAAACCTATATGCTGTTAACTGATGGTGCCTTCGCAAACACCAGAACAGAAACCACCCCAGATTTTAAAAATAAAATAAAAATAACAAGATCAAGAACCGAAATGTCATTTATCACACAAACCAGATATTATACTTGTGAAAGATGTCAATCAATTAAGTTATCCACCAAAAATAAAAAGAAAAAGAAAAAAGAAAGAAAAGAAAACCATAAGCAGACAAGTACTGCACTTCAAGCCAACCATAACACTTCTCATAAAGAGAGTACAAAAGATAAAACATAAATTCAGGAAGAGATGAAATCCAATCACTTCTGTAGCACCAAACACCAATTGTTAACACAAGGAGTTCTCCACAACCTCATATACTTGTTGTATTATTATATCACTGCAACCATTCCAACAGCAGATATATGGATGCAAGCCTGTAAAGAGGCTAAGAAAATTTGAAATAAGTCATTAAACGTACCAAACCAATTAAAGACCCTGTTCAATGAGATAATCACCAAGCCTTTCAACTATCATGTTGCATTGGCCTGGAGTCATTGGTTCATCATAGATACCAATGATCAAGGCCTGATTTGTCTTTTTAACAGTAACACCTCCAGGTCCCTGAAACCATGATAGACAAGGGTCAGAATCTAACCATTACATTAGCACCATGTCAAAGGCAACGTTGACTATTCCAAGTCTAAGCATTATTCCAAGTCTAATCCAATGCTGAATAACAATAATTCAACAAATTGTTGCTATCATGATCCACAATCTTTTCAATCAAAATATAAAGAATATGAAATCTTCCTTGTGTTAATATAATTGGAAAATAAATTTCTGCTGCTGCAGATTAGTCATAGTATTGCGGACCTGTTTCAAGTTCAAAAATTACAACTTCAACATTCAGTTGGTTACAAATACAAATCTTGCGGAAGGGACTTGCATTGAGACATAGATCTGAGACAGCAATTTTTAAACATCATAATTGGAAATACAACCTGTTTACAATGCATAAATTAATTTACCCAATGGTGAAGCCCCAGAAGAATAAAAAAATAAATCAGCCATGTGGCTCATTTTTTATTATGTAAAATCCAGTTTTTTTTAAGGTAGGTACTAAATCAAGCTTTTTGCTAAACATGGTGTAGCTAATAACATAAGAAAGCTGTATATTTCTGAAAATTGTGAACTTTCTTAGCTTTGAAGAATTATATTTCAAATTGAACATGAAACAAAACATCATCATTCTTGAAAGTGAAGTCACCACCAAGAGGCCATTATCCCTACTTCCCAAAGGGAGGTAAGGCATGTGTGTGAGTACCAACTAAGGAAAAAAACAAAAAAAAAGTGAAGTCAACATACTTTATCAAATTTGTGTTTGAATACGTATGCACAAATGCAAGATAGATAGGTAATCAAACAAAGATCCGATATATATTCATCACCTTCTTCCCTCGAATGACAGCTCCTGCCTCGCCCTGTATCACCATGTATTTTGTGCCACCAAGGTACAAGCCAGTTGGAGCAAGTGAACCAGGTTCCTCAAAGTCAATCACTATTGCAGTTATTTCTTCAGGCTTGAACTAAAACAGTGTTGACATAACAAGCAATGAATATTCAGCTATGCGTTCAAGAGGTACGAATACACAATGCACATGACATTCAAAGACATTGTGTTAGAGTTGTGTCTGCATGACATGGATGTTAATGTTCTCGGTATATCAAACCAATAAAGAAGCTTCCGAGTCAAGGGAGAAACAGAAAAATCAATTATTAATAGGTATCTTTTTGCTTGTGTTACATTTGTTTCCCTGAAAAAGTATATTAGAAGAGAATAATTTGATTTCATTTTTTATTCCATTCCTTAGAATAGCCAATTGCTAGAAACACATTTAGCTGTAAGCATTAATTGAAATTCACACTAATCCCATTCAGGGACTAGTGTGACGTCAAATCACACGAGCTCTCAATTGAAGTTTTAGGAAGAACGAGAAAGGGATTACCATATTAAGTGTATATGGATTATCTAACTAAACACAGATCAATTCTATACTTGATGAAAAACAAATTCCAGTGACCCAAAAGTTTAGGGAAAAAAAGGAAAGCCAATGTTTTTCCATGTTGAAATATGTACTATATGAACAGTGATCATTTCTGAAACCTTGAAAGTTAAGGTTTTCTGCAAAAACAAATTTTATATGTGTGTTGATATTAATTTATCTTGCTATACTATTCAGTTCTAACAGGTAATTTAATGATTAATGATAAATTTCAATAGATAAATAAAAATCAAATCCACAAATGATGCAAATACTAAAATCCCAGATCTCAAATGATATAGAGTAATCAATCAGAACACTATCAATTAAACAAAGACCGAACACAAATTAATCAACAAATCGGATCAAAACAAGACAATTCAAATCAAGTGAACAAATACACTCAGTAGGTGGATACGGATTGATCTTCATAACAGATCGAATACATAGAGTAGAAATACAAATTCAAGCAGAATGAATCAAGAATATGCTTTCAAATCTAAACTAAAAACGCACTCCGATCAGATCCAAGATAGAGCATCAAACCTATTAAACAATTTTCTTTTAGAATCAAACAGAACTTTTTCACAGCTTCGAAAAGCACAAGCAAAGTTAAAAGCAAATATATATATATATATATATGGGTTATATAGAATAGAAAATAGAGACCTGAGGGAAGGAGGCGCTCTGGGCCCAGACGATGCCGTCTTGGCCGATGATGGCGGAGGAGGTGAGATGGTTGCCTTCGATATCGCACATGAGGTGCTCGTCCACGTACACTTGCCACGACATCCTCGTTTACACTTTCTTCGGCTTCTTTGTGTTTTTTGTGTGTGTGTGTGTGTTAGCTCAGACTCTGTTCGGGGTCTTCTTGGGTGAAGAGAGATGATAGCGTCGAAACAACGAAATGTCATTGAATCATCACACTAATATATAGGGTGGAACGCTAGTTGCGACTATCACAATTTCTATAATTACACCTTATGTCTCCTTCTTTATTAAAATTAAAAATATCTATAATTACACCTTATGTCTCCTTCTTTATAAAAATTAAAAATATAATTTTTATCTTAATAATTACTCTTTAATGTTTTTATCCCACTTCTTTTATTTTCTTCTCTTCAATTTTATTTCTTATATCAAATATGGATTGTCAAATATATATATATATATATATATATATATATATATACACACACACACACACACACGTAAATATATTATTTTCCTTTTTTTTTTTTTAAATTGTCAAAACAAATAATATTATGGGAATAGATTATTTTATATCTTTTTTTAAAATTATATTTTAACTATATATATGCTATATATGGTCTATGAATTCACTTTCAATTTTTATAATCACAATAAAAAGTAATAGGAAAAGAAAAATGACAGAATTTTGAAAGAAGTAAATTAGAGTATGATTGAATAAGGAAAATTTGACTTTTTAAAAAAAAAAAAAATTAAAGAAATTTAAAGAGTAAATGAGGATACAAGGGAAAAAGTTAAGAGAATTTTGGAAATTTAATATTTTTAAGGGGCATAATATACAAATTTCTATATACATATATATGTAAAAATAATTTAAAAATTCATATATATTATATAGGGGGCAAGCCGGGTTGTACATATATATATATGTGTGTGTGTAAATAACTACCTTCATATGTGTATAAATTTTTTATTTATTTATTTTTCTCTCTATCACTTAATCAATGTACGTGTGTGTATATATATATATATATAAATTATATACATATTATTTTTTTTCTCTCATCACTTAATTAATGTACATGTGTGTGTATATATACATCACTTGCTATCAATATATAACACGTATATATGTAGTTATAAGATAATTTAAAAAAAGAAAAATAAAATAATCAATTATCATAATGTTATTTGTTTTGGCAAATTCAAAAAGAAAGAAAATAATATGAATTGTGATTATATGAATTGAACGTGAATCCGTATGCGCACACACACACATACATATATATACATATATATAATTAAAAAAGGAAATTAAATAATCCATTCCCATAATATTATTTGTTTTGGCAATCCAAAAAGAAATAAAATAATATATTCCCGTATGTTTTTTTTTTTTTTGCAATCTATAATGTTATTGATATAAGGGATAACTTAGGAGAGTAGAATAAAAGGAGAGAGATAATAAAAAGGTTAAAGGGCAATTTGGTTTTGAAAATTTATATTTTTAATTTTCATAAAGTAGGAGACATCTTATAAATGAACGTATAATTATAGAAATTGTGACCAATAAGAAGAGGCAGTCACGATTACAACCGGTTAGAGTAAGGTTTTTGAGTTATGTTCTTTTATCAATGAAAAATAAATAAATAAAAAATAATAATAATTGACATCATGAGATGTGGGGGTAATACAATTTACCTGAAAATTTATATATATATTGTTCTATTTTTCCTTACCAAGGTGGGATCAACATTTATTACTGTAAGCTCATTTAAAGCTGTTCCTCATTATATGATAAGTAAATAATGTCTTTGTATCATAATAATTTTTTATATTTTATTCTCTACTTTTCAAAATGAATAATGAGGATTCAATTTTTTAAAACAGTAAAGTGAATGTGTGTGATAAAAAAATAAAAAATAAAAATTCTGTTGAACGATTTACCCCTGTAAAATTTGTCCAAACCAGGAATGATAATTTACCTAATTTCATTTCATACTGTGAGAAAAAATGAAATAAAACAATTTTTTTGTTCTTTTCTGCTTTAGATAACACAATAAATCTGCGAACCCAAAAAAAAAAAAAAAATCACAATAGTGAAATAAATAGATCGACCAACCCGCTCAGAATCACAATAAAAGCTCATATGAGCTCATTAAGCATGAATTATGCAATTTAAAAAAATAATGTAAATGAAACATATTATTTTTCTCACAATCATACTTTTTCTTTAAAGTAGATGTTATCATCCCACCTTATTCTTCATTATGGCTATGATTAGGTTGGATTTAAATTGATGCCTATTCCTTTTTGAATGGCGAATTTATTCATTGGATACTCCCATTCATAGCCTCAGATCCATCAACTTGCAGCACTTCACTTCTGGTCCACTGGCTTCCTCTGCAAATATTATCCCATTTTACATACATATTGAATAATGTATTTCTTTTGGTGCATTGTTGGTGTGCAAGTTGATTAATGTGCCTATCATTTTCCATTTTGATATCACAAGCAGTGTATGGGCCATCGTCCTTTTCTTGACATGTGCATAAAAGAAGATTGTACCAACTCTTTTTGAGTTGGGCCTCAATTCGGGGCCCGTGGGTCAACCACACCTTATCCACCAACCTGTGTCGAATGGAAAAGCCCACATGGCATTGGAAAAGCCCTCAATTGTGATAAGCTTATAAGGAAAAGCATATAAAAAGGTTTCATTGCATATCAAAATTTATATTGCAGAGCCAACTGAAAGGAAATGTAAAATACCACATATGGGTCATGGAATACACAAAAAAAAAAAAAAAAAAAAAAAAAAAAAGAATCAAGAGGTTAAGAATGCAATGCAAATTAAAGCAATCCTAAAAAAAAAAAAAATGCCTTATGTCCTCAAATGGTTACTGCGTGGAACAACTCCACTTCCAATTCATGTCTTCAGAAAGAAGGAAGAAGGTTGAAGCATAGAAGAAGAAAATAATGCTAGGCCTACAGGCCTTGATCAACGAGGTAATCTCCCAGCCTCTCAACAACCATGTTGCACTGTCCAGGAGTTACAGGTTCCTCATATATACCAAACACGAAAGCTTGACCGGTCTTCTTAATAGTAACACCTCCTGATCCCTGCAACACCAATTCAAATAAATCTCCAATTTAAACAAAACATGTGGAAACTCATCATATTCATTTATTTTTTTCAGCCCATTTGGGCCAGCTTCATTTGCCAAAATCTGACCAGCAGCAGTGGAGATGGTGATCTGAATATAAAAAAAATTGCAAGGCTACTAATCATACACTTCATATGGATACTGTTAGAGGGGCTCATCCCATATCGGATCCGGATGAGAAGTGAATGAGGTATAAATGAGTGGGTATACAGCACCACTGATACTTGATATCAGAGCCACAGAGAATGTTATGCTAGCTAATTATATAACTACAATTACAAACGGGATAGTAGCAGATTGCGGAAGTATTATTTTTATTACCAACAAGATGCACCTACAAGGCAAAGCAAGTTACCAAGTTTCTATTTAAGTTACCAAGGTTCTATTTAACTTAAAAAGAGCAAAGCTTTGTTACGAACAAAGAATTAATGGTCTGCTTATATTATACTTCAAGATGTGGTAAACCCACTGATGCCATGTAGGACTATATTATAGGAAAGAAAAGAGGTTGCAGACATAGATGCATCACCTTCTTTCCACGGATGACAGCTCCAGCTTCTCCCTGGATTACCATGTACTTTGTGCCCCCGAGGTGTAACCCTGTAGGGGCAAGGTGGCCTGGTTCAGCAAAATCATTCTTGATACCAGTGACCTCCTCCGGCTTTAACTGGATATAAAAATAACCAAAATAATTCAGAAAATGAAAGTGTGTCAAAAATATCAATTTGATAAAACAAAAAATAATAATAAATAAATCCTTGCCACTTGTAAAATGATCAAAATTAGAAACCAGAAATAATCACAGGCATCGCCATAAGAATATATACATGTTTTCAATTTCATAATGGGGTCTTTCTTTATTTAGTATCTGGTATTGAAACTCAACATTCAAGCAGCCACCAGTTTTATCAAATCACTATATAAATTTAACCTCGTCGCCACATTGACAACAATTTATATGTACAAAACACCATTATCTCAATATCTCATAACAATATGTACAAGTGAAAGAGAAACTTATGGAGCCGAATCAAAAGGACAATGCACATTGTTGTATTAACCGATGATCCAATCACTACAATAAACAGATCGATCCTTGGAAATCCGCCCAACAAGTGCAAGTGCAGTGAATGACATAAAATTGAAAAGGAAATCAAAATGGAAATAAAGATCAGAAATGGAGTGTTCGATTTAGGCAACTCACAAATTATTTCCAAACACAACCATATCAAATCGAATTCGCAAAAATGCCATAGTAACGCAAAATTTTGATTAAAAGAAATGATCGAAGCACACTATGTCAAGCAATTTAAATAGATCAAACCAAACAACGATTTCGAAAAAAATTAAATGAAACATTACAATGACAATATAACCATAGGTATACAAAGGAACACACACAAATATATAAATAGACCTGAGGGAATGAAGCGCTCTGAGCCCAGACACTTCCGTCCTCGCCAATGATGGCCGCGGCCGAGAGATGTTGGCCCTGGCCGTCGATATCACACATCAAATGTTCGTCCACGTACGTTTGCCACGACATCTTCTCTCTCTCCTTCTCTGATCTCTCGTCCTGCTCTCTCTCCTCTGTATAAGCTTTTTCGTTGCTTTTCTTCTTCTTTTTTTCCCTCTATTTTTTCTTTTCTTTTATTTTTTTCAGGGAAAAAAAATTGGATGATTGATGATCATGATCTTCTCTCAGCCGTCCGTTCAACTGAATTTGACCAGTGCCGTACAAATCTGCCTTAATTCAAGGATAATTACATTCATTGCCGAATATACCCCCATAAAAAATTAAGGAATGCAATTATTCCCATTCAAATGATCAAATGACAAGAAGCCTCCCTTTCTTTTATTAAATTTATGGAAAAAATGATATTATTGAGAATCTTTAATATCCCGATTTAAAATATGTTGTGATTATTCTAAAATTTAACTTAAATAGATATCATTAACCAAAAGAGATAAAATATGATGTGATTATTCTAAAATTTCAACTTGAGTCCGACTATTTACCCTTACAAATAAAAATCTACTATTTCACCGAGTTTCTGTGATTACTTATGTGTAATATAATTGGACCCATTTATAAATAAAGGTAATTAACTATTTAGAAATTCTTAATATAGTATCTTTGTTAGATTTTAAAGTTTCAATCCCATATATATATATTACATTGCATCAATCTAAGATCTAAGAACGGTTGAGATACCTAAGATGGCATTTTCTATATATAGTTATATTGTGTATCCCTAGTACTGGTTAAAACTAATGATCTATGTGATTATCATAAACAAAAACAAAGAGAGGGATTTAAAGAAAAATTGCAAAAAATTGTAAAATTGTAAAACATTACCGTTTTTATTTCTAGATTTTGTACAAATTAAATTCTTATATTTGAATATCATGATACGTCTTTCAACTTAAATATGTATGATTACTACCATTGTTTGTTTCCATAAAATACAGTCTCGGATACAGATCATTTCCTTGGGACAGTCATTCATTAAGACACATCATTTGCTACATCTCCCTTTCAATCTCTCTCTCTCCTTTCAATCTCTCTCTCTCTCTAAATCTTATATACTAAGACCAAATTTTTTTCTTCCCTTTTAAGTAACTTTCATATTCAAATTTTGCTTGTCGGAATCCGTCGACTTCTTCAACTTGTACTAAACGTAATATATGGAAATAAATAAATAATGAATGGAATCTTCCGGTTTGAGGTTTTGCTCAGTTCACCAGGGAATAATCATAAATATATGTTGAGTTTTTTTTTTTTTTTTTAAAAAAAAAAACAAAAAAAATCTGCTGAAAATTAATCAAAGTTTTAGATTTGGCAAAAGTCATGGCGTCGCAGTTGACATGACAAGGAAGATGACCATCTTAGATCGCTCTTTGCATGAGGAAGACAGAGAAGATCGTAAATTTATTTATTTATTTTCACTCTAATTTGTTAAGATAAACGGCTGCCAGGGCCAGGTCACCAATGTGAAATTGTTGAGTATTTTAGACAGCCACATTAGCATATTTTCTTTCTTTTCACTCTTTCTCATTCCATTAACAAATTAACCCTATATTAAGTAGGTTTGTAAAAATGATGTGTGGTCCAGACATGATACTGCTTGGTTGTTATTGGGAAATATATTTTTACACAAAATGTATAAAACAACTCGGAGGTAAAAATAAATAATCCAAATTTTTTTTCGTGTAAATCAATTATGACACATCAAATATACACAAAAATAATAATAATAATAATAAAATAAAAATAAATTATACACAATTGTTGAAGATACTCTTAGTATCTAAGATTTAGAGAGAGGTTGAGAAGAGAGAGAAAGAGAAAGGGAGAAAGGGAGATGTGGCAAATGACCTATCTTAATGAATGATGTGTCTTAATAGTAGACTTCAGATTAGTTTTGCAGAGAGCAGGAGAGAGATTTTCCAAGGAGAGGATCCGTATCCCTTTTTTCCCTTCCTTATTTTTTAGTTTTTCATTGCCCTTTTTTTTTTAGTTTTCCATTTATGATTATATCATTTTTTTTTTTTTTTTTTTCACATCAGGTTTCATGGTACTCAAATTTACGAATTTTGAATTGTATAAAATCTACAACAAAAATTACAATGTATCAATTTTTTTTTTTTTTTTTAACAAATTTTCAATACTTTATTTATTTTTTAAATTCCTCTCCTTATTTTTGTTTCTGGAGGTCAGATAGATCATTAGCTTTGATCATTATAACAATTAACAAATGCCTATAAAAATTATTGATGTATATTAATGATCAAAGACAATGTTTTATCTCAACAGTTCTTATAGAGATGCAATGTGATGTGTGTGTGTATATATATAATAGATACACAATTTGATATATATGGTGATTGAAATTTTAATGGCTAACAAAGATAATAGATTAAGATGAGACGTAAAAAAAAGACTGCAACTTTTTAAATAGTTAATTACCTTATATTTTAATATGGGTCTCATTAAATTTGACGCATAAATAGCCACATAAACTCGGTGAAGTAGTAAGTTTTTATCATGGTTCGGCGTATCGCCAGTCACGATCGATACCGCAACCATAACTGATACTGCGAACTATGATTTTTATTTGCCGGACTAAATAGCAAGACTCAAATTTATGTTTTATATTTGGAATTAAAATTAGCAAATTTGGAAAAAAAAAAAATTAAAAAATTGAAATAAAATTATTATTATTTTTTTCATAATAATAATTTTATTTCAATTTTTTAATTTATTTTTTCCAAATTTGCTAATTTTAATTCTAAGTGTGAGGTATAATGACAATCCTAAGGTTTAGTATATACAAGTTGGCCTATTTTTAGTAGGGCTGTAACTTGAATTGGCCTAACCCAGCCCAGTTTCAACCCAACCTCAACCTGAATCGAGTTGGGTTTGGCTAACCCGAATTTTACTCAACATGGGTTATGGTCAAAACCCGTACCGAATATTTTCGGGCTAGTTGGGTCGGATTGACGGGTTGAATTTTTTTAATTCTTTTTTTTTTTGGAAATTTATATTATATATATATATATATATATCTATTATATATATTTGATTATATTATTATTAAAAAAACAAAATATTTTTAGGGCAAATCGTTTTAGCCTCCCCAATCGCCTCCATCTCTATTCTCTCTGAACTTGCCCCTCCTCTCTCTCTCTCTGCAACTGCAAACTACAAAATCTACAAGAATCAGAAGTTCAAAACCCATATATTTTAGTTTTATCTATCAGTCTGCAAGAATCAAAAGTTCAAAACCCATATCGGCATATCATTTTAGATTGTTCAAAAAATCAAACCCAAATTTTTCAGCCTCAAATGGGTACGCCAATTATTTTATAAATTGAGCTGCATACTCCAATTATTTTATAAATCTTTTTAAAAATTATTAAGATTTTATATATGGAATTGCTATCTTGTGACTTTTTTATATTTCCATTCTCTACAATGGGGTTACATCCCTGTATGGATCTTAATAACTTTTGCACATGCCATGTGTAAATTGATGAACTATAATAAAAGCCTATGGTGTTGGAGTTTCAGAGGCAAAATATTCTCTATTTCTATGAGTAGCTAGGCAAGATCTATAAGGTAGAAGGTACGATAATCTTTATCTCGGTCCATTCAAAAGGGAAAACATATTCTCTTGCCATTTTTCCAAAGAATCGAGATTCTGAAGTGTCAGATAAAGTTTGTGAAAACAGATTCATGCTTCCAATCTTATAGACAGACGCTAGAATTTGGATTAAAGAGAAAGAAGAGAGGTTCTTTCTTAGAGCACTTCCACTATGCATCTTTTCTTCTAAAACATAAAGTTACAGGCGCAGAGGCGACAGCAGCAGAGAGGATAGCGGCAGAGAGAAAGAGAAAGAGTCCCGACGGATTCAATAAAAAAATTGGTCCCTTAGTTCTTTTTTCTTTCCTTTTTCCTTTCGCATTTCTTATCAAACAAATAGGGAAATTTGCATTACTTTAACTAATACCGATTGATAGGAGAAAGACATATGTTGATAAGTATAATTATTGGTAGCATTTTATTCAGGATTCCAAGAGATGCTGGATCTGTTTTTTCGATTGCTCTCGATCCCCCTAATGGAATAGAGTACCATATCTTTCTTAAGAGAGAGGAGAGAGAAAGGAGAAATTTTTTTTTTGGGTTTTGGGTTGGGTTCGGGTTGAGCCCGAGCCCAACCCGAATATTGATAGGTACACAAAACCTATTATTTTATGTACCAAAATAAGCTTTTAATTAGATTTTTATATTATTTAAACATTCTTGTATGCTCATTTTGTGTTTTATAGGTGTTAATGTGTGAAAAAGAAGAAAAGAAAGTAAAAATCAGCATGCCACATCATCATCTGCAATATATATATATATATATATATATATATATATATATATATTATATTTTGAAAAGAGAAAGAAGAAAAGAAGAAAAGAAAAGAAAATAAAATAAAGAAAGTGTGTGCACGTGAAGAAGAGAAAGGAGGAGAGAGAAAGAAGAAAAGAAAAGAAAAGAGAGAAAGAAGGAAAAAGTCAGCAAGGGTAGGTAGGAAGCAAATGAAATGGTCAGTGCAGTAAATAGCAGAAAGGTGGCGTGAAGAAATGAAGAAACAGTTTGGGAAAAGCCATCATCACAGCCTACAAATGGGTTGATTCATTTGGCTATAAATTGCACACTTCGGAGGCAGAGTTGGAGGTAGAAAGTTAGAGATAGAATTTCTTTATGTAATTTTCTTTAAAATTTGTTTAATTTAATGCAAGTTATGTCCACAAGTTTTATTCTCATTTAATTTCCAATTCAAGTGTTTAATATTTTATAGTTGTAATTTCATTTCCATAATTCGTGACCAATCTCAAAATCAATATTTTTAAATCTCTTGTTCGGAAATAGAAACTTACCTTGAATGCGTGGTTCGACCCTACTTGCCATTAGACATTTTTAGTTAAATGGTTGTAGGTATTTTATATGTTGATATGGAGTGTATTTGACAACGATAAGTCCATAAATACACGCCTATCAAATATGTCTGGGTTTTGACAAAACCCAACCCGAACATGAGCTGATTTGTAAATTTAAAACCCAAATTTCAAAATTTTGGATTGGGTTTGGCTTGGGCTTGGTTAACCCGCCCAAGTTGCAACCCTAATTTTTAGACAATAACATCCATTATCAGAATTTTTTTTTTTTTTTTTTTATCAAAACAAGCCCTTAATACGTTAGAAAAGACAAGATTGCCCA